CACCAGCACTACTCCTGCAGCATCAGCCAGCTTGTGGCTAAGTGGAACTCCCCCTGTGGAAGTGCACTGACACCAGGGGTCAGCTCCTGCGTTGAGCCTCTAACCCAGGGGTGGGCAAACTTTTTGACTCGAGGGCCACAATGGGTTCTTAAACTGGACTGGAGGGCTGGAACAAAAGCATGGATGGAGTGTTTGTGTGAACTAATATAAATTCAAAGTAAACATCATTACATAAAAGGGTACGGTCTTATTTTTTTTTTTTTTTAGTTTTATTCATTTCAAACGGGCTGGATCCGGCCCGCGGGCCGTAGTTTGCCCACGGCTGGTCTAACCCCTGGTGGTCATTGTGCATCATAGTGACCAGTTGTTCTGCTGTTAGGGTTAATTTGCATATTACCCTTTTATTATATAGGATGTTATGGACTCATAGATTCTTATTCTCTGAGTTATAATCATTTATCATTTATTATTCATTTTGAAACTTTATTTGTGCTTATTGCCTATGAGAATTCTAAATGATCTCAGAGAAGCCAACTGGAAAATATATATAAAAAAAAACACAAGAAGCAGAAACTAGAAACTGAGAAGCTAAAGGAATGTTTAACCACAAAGGGATGAGTCAGGATTGGAACAGGAAGAATGGGAGATGGAAACAGCATAGATGTTGATATATGACCTATAAATTGCAATCTATTTATACATTTTAAAGCCTGTGATTCCTAATTGATATCTCCAATTCTAGTTTGACACCCTAGAGTTCTTTCCAGCCTCTCCTTTTTCATGTACATAGATCGAGAGAGAGAGAGAGAGAGAGAGAGAGAGAGAGAGAGAGACTACCTTTACCTCAATGTTTACTTATTTGCTGAATCTTTGGATACATGGTGAGTTGTTTCAAATCTTGACTCACACCACTGTCAATGACACACTAAGTACAGCTTAAAACTTTATTGTCAGGTTTGTTTATTTATTGTGAGAGTTTATAGTAAAAATTATGGGTTCAAGAATTATTTGGGGTACTTATTTTATTTTCCTCTTTGGTGTAATTACAGTGTATAATAGGATTACAATTAGGTTCAATTATATTGTTTTATTCTATTTTGCTTTATTCACCACCTCTTCTATTTATTTTTAGTGGCAAAAGACAACATAGTCAAAAGGACACAAATAATTCTAACCCCTCCCCTCTGACAGCTGTTGGTCTACTCTAGATTACAATGTCATTTATTGACATAGTTTAATAAAACCATACAAATGTCAAGTGTACAGCTAAATAAAACAACACCTGCATACTGCATTGTGCACTCACCACCCAAAATTATCTCTTTTCCTCTCCTTTGATCCTCCCTTTGTTCACTACCACCTCCTCCCCAAAACCCCTTTTCCTCTGGCACTCACCATACTGTTTTCCATGTCTATATGTGATATATATTTTTTCTTGCTTTATTCCTTCACCATTTTTTTGCCCAGCCCTCATTAACACCTCCCCTCTGACAGGTGTCAGTCTACTCTATGTATCTATGCTTTTGTTTCTATTGTGTTTTTTCATTATTTTGACCATTAGATTACACATATAAATGAGATTCTATGGTATTTGTCTTTCTCTGACTAGCATTTTTCACTTAGCGTAATAAATTCCAGGTCCATCCATGCTGTCTCAAAAGGACATTTTCCTTTTTTTCAGCCAAGTAGTATTCCATTGTGTAAATGTATCATGGGTTTTTTTTATTCCTCATCTATTGATGGGCACCTGCGCTGTTTCCAGATGTTAACTACTTCCTGTGTGTCATTATGTTTAAATGGACATGTATATGAATATTTTACTTCCCCTTCATTTTCACATGTCATATAGCATGCTATAAATGCTCTTTTACACATTGCATTTAAAAATTTAACAATCTATCCTATTTATCCATATTGATTCATAAATATCTCTGTTCTTATATTTTTCCCAGTTGCAAAATACTAAACTTCATTGATGTTCTATAGAGTTTTCTTTACTGGTCCTAGTATGAGATATTGATGTTGAGTGTCCTAAATGCCACCCAATTGTGTACCTCCAATGGCTAACCTGATAAATTTTGTTTTGTATATTAAACTATAATTAAAAATTAAAGAGTAGGTAAGAGGTAATCTCTATATACTGGTATAGCACATAAAAGAATTACAACAACAACAACAACATAATAATAATAATAATAAATGATCAATATGTAAATAAGGGGGAATGGAATAAAAATATATATTTGATTAATCAAAAGGGAGTAAGATAAGAGGCAATAAATGTGAAGCAGGTGTATAACATAAAAATCAGTAATATATAAAATATAAATTTAAATATATTATGATTACATTAGACTAGAATGCCTGGTGCATGAAATTTATGCACTGAGGTGGGGGAATCCCTCAGCCCTGCCTGCACCTGCTCACAGTCCGGGGCCCCTTGTGGGATGTCCGCCTACTGGCTTAGGCCCAATCCCCCCAGTTTGTCAGAAGTCAGACATCCCTCTCGCAGTCTGGGCTCTCGCTGTCTGGGACCCCTCACTCCTTACTGCCTGCCTGCAGCGGAGGCGGGAGAGGCTCCTGCCACTGGCACTGCACTTGCCACCCATGCTGGCCCTGTGGCAGCACACTGACCACCAGGGGGCAGCTCCTGTGTTGACCATCAGGCCCCTGGTGGTCAGCGCGCGTCATAGCGACTGTTCGTTCTGCCAGTTGTTCCACTGTTCAATCGATTTGCATATTAGGGTTTTATTGTATAGGATATCAATACATAAAATTCTCCACAAATGTAATAATTGTTGCTTTACATAAAAATAGCAAATACAACTTTACACTGTTAGTGACGGACACCTCACAGATACACAGACATAGCTAACCTTAAAGTGATGGGAATAATACCATGTAAACACTAACAACGAGTAAGGGGCATCTTTACTTCCACTGCTGTACTAGTATCTATATCTCTATCTGTATCTTTATCTGTACCTGTATATGTATCTATATCTATAGATTTAGTTGAAATATATCTGTACTAATATCAGAAGTAGACAAGGTGTTAAGGTAGGACCCATTGGTAGATGTGTGCTGTTAAATTCATTTTAAAAATGCATTTATAAAGTCTTGCTTTGTAGCACATGCTAATTTTCATGGTGTAATTATTCTTCTCATGGCTGACTGAAGTCTACTAACATGATGTCATTGAATGTGAGTTGGAAGAGATGTGCTCAATCAGCTTGAAGCCAATGTGAGACAGCAAACAATAATCAGTTAAAAAAAAAGTTCATCAGGAATGGATCATGAATGTAAATCAGTGTGTCCTCAATAACATAGTCTAAAAATACAAACTCACAATTATAATTGTGTAAGATATTTTACAAAAAATTTTACACAGGTCTTATAAGAGATTAGGAACAAGGGAATGAAAAATTACTAACAACCCAAGTAGCAAATTTGACCAAGTTGAATATTAACAGCACTTGTACATAACAAGAGAAGGCATATTCTAAGATTATATGGAGATGTTGACCATACAATAATTATAGAAGATCTGTCTCACTGTGCTCCTGACTGCAACAAGAGGATTTAGTGATTATCAGTTAAAGAGCTTAACCCTATTGACACACATCTCTAAGGCCTGATTCATATCTCTGTTCCTCAGGCTGTAGACGAAGGGGTTCAGCATGGGGGTAACTACCGAGTACATGACTGAAGCAATTATGTCTTTGGAATCCCATGATGAGGAGAAAAAGTAAACACCTGCAGCTGCCCCATAGTATAAAGACACCACAGAGAGATGGGAGCCACAGGTAGAAAAGGTTTTAAAGAGTCTCTTAGTGGAGGGTACCCTCAGGATGATGGTCCCTATACGGATATAAGAGCTCAAAATTATACCAAAAGGCAGGAAGAAAATCATTCCTCCCTCGGTCAAGATGACCAGCTCATTGAGGGAGATGTCTGAGCAGCTCAGCTTCAGCAGCACAGTGAGATCACAGAAGAAGTGGGTGATGATATTGTGGGCACTGAAGGACAGGCGGACCAAGAGCAGAGTATGAAAAAGTCCATGGACACAGGCAGCCATATAAGACCCAGCCACCAGGAATACGCACAGCCCATTCCTCATGATGGTGGTATAGCGCAGAGGGTGACAGATGGCCACGTACCTGTCGTATGCCATCACAGCCAGAAGGAAATTGTCAACACTAGCAAAAAGTATGAAGAAATACAACTGAGAAATGCACCCCACATAGGGGATGGATTGTTGCCGAGTCTGCATGTTGATGAGCATCTTAGGGACAGTGACAGAGGAGAGAGAAATGTCAGAGAAGGCCAAGTGGCTGAGGAAGAAGTACATGGGCGTGTGCAGGCGAGAGTCCAGCCTGATGAGCAGGATGATGAGCAGGTTGCCCAGCACCGTGGTCAGGTAGATGCCCAGGAAGAGGGTGAAGAACATGCCCTGCTGCCCTGGCGGGATGGGGAGCCCCAGGAGGAGGAAGTGGGACATGCTGCTCTGGTTCTCAGGCCTCATGCTGCTCTTCTGTCTGCTGGGGATGAAGAAGGGTTGGGAATCTCAGGAACCTAGAAAGAAAGATCAGAACCATCACATCTCATACCATTATTTTCTGGGAAAACCATTCATTTTTTAAAACTTTCACATTAATTTCTCTCACATGTGGATGTTTGCATCTTTCCTCTATTCCAGTCTGGCTCCAGGAAAACATTGGAACCCCATGTAGTCAACAAGACCTCATTACAAAGAAGCAAGAGTGTGTTCACTGTGTCATTCACCAGGATTTATTGAACATGGAGTCAGTGTCGGGACCTCCATTAAGGACTGAGATGCAGCAGTGAACAAGAGAAGCAAGGTCCCCACTTCTATGAGTTTAGGTCTTGATGAGCATGGAGGGATGATTTCTACACCAAGCCACAGGGAAACCATAATAATTCACCCTGGCAGAACTAGAAGGCGAGCCCCTGAAAACTGTCAGTTCTTCCTGCTTTAAATTGCTGAATGGGTGTTTGTGGAGCATTATCCCATTGAACCTCAGCTGTAAACACAGGGACAAGCTAGAAATGGGTGGCCATTGAAACCACTAGCTGCCAAGAAACCTCCAAAACAGTTCACTAACTATGTTTCATAATAATACTGAGCATTTTGGTGGCATAAACACTGTGCTGAACATGAGGCTAAAGGCTTTTTCTAGTTTCCTAAGTAAATCTAACATCAGCTTTACATTCCCAGATTAAAAATCTTCACAGCTGCACGAAGAATTCTGTTAGGAAATAGAAATATAAGGGATATAAGTTTTACACCATTTTTGTAGGTTAAAAAGTACCAAATATTCTTTAATGGAATTGGTAGTATTGTAATAACTTTATATGGTGACTTGACTGTTACAAGACTTATTGTGGTGATAGGTATATAATTGGTAAATCACCATGCTGTACACACCTGAATCTAATATAGTATACGACCACTTTAAGAATAAATATAAAGGAGGAAAATGATCAAATATTGACTACTTTGTGAAGTTTAGTCTAATATGTCTGCATGATGAGAACTTGTGCTCTTACCCACTCCCCATGAAACTTCCCTCTTCATTGGGAACAGCCTTTGCTAATTTAGGGTTGACAGTACTTCAAAATTTTCTTAGATCCCTACCTAGAGAGTTCCCTTCATTTATAATGATCTGTTTTTCAATCAACAAAACACCCTTACATTCATTATCATTTGCTTACAAATACATGTTAGTTGAGGACCTGTTTTTTATGAGGCAAGTGTCATTCCTTTCTTTCACTTTGTAGATTGAAAACAGAGGCCTATGAGTTACACTGAGTGGCCAGATTATTAATGACCACCCCATCAGTACAATGAAGTGAATTAGTTATGCAAATAATAATAATAATAATAATAATAATAATAAAACCTTGAGAGTATTTGCTTAGGAAGTTTTCAATATTCGGTAATTCTGGAAGTGTCAATGAAGTACTGATGGGGTGGTCATAATAATCTGGCCACTCAGTGTAAGTGACTTCCTCAAGGTTCGCCACACCAGTGGGTGGCAGTCCTGCACTCTGACTTCACACAGCATGACACCTAATGTTTCTTTGCCTGGACATTAAGTGAAAGTGTTACCACCTCTGAGTGGCACAGTCACACTCAGGTATGTGAGAAGCACAGCAGATCCATTTCAGACACCGGGGTTCTTTGGAGATTGTTTAGCTCAGCCAATGGGGCCCCAGGAGATGGGCTCTGCAGGAAATATTTGAGGTCATAGGGGCAAGTTGGAAGCCCCAGACACACATTCAAATCACACACACACACACACACACACACTGCTGATTTGAGAATTTCAATAAACTGTGATCATGTTCCCATCCTAAGGGAAGGATAGCCAATATGGGGTTCAGCTCATAAACACGCATAGACGTCCATACAAGTCATAATGAACACACAAAGCAAGACATACACACCACTCAGTGATGGACCACTCACCCACAAACATTCTCAATGCACATCAACACACCTGGCTCATGACACATCCGGCAAAGACTTCATTCCCACATATACATAACTCATGCACTATACACATCCATCACCAAAAACCCACAAAAGCACAAACAATTAAAAAAACCAGAGGAAACACACACCAACAATACATGTGCCCACCCAGCCACACTCACTGCATTAAGCAGTGCACACCCTCCTATTAATGAGAGGTATGCTTCCCCCCATTCTGTTCCATCATCCCCTTCCTGGGGAGGGCAGTCAGCATGGGGCAGTTAAGCATATTCTGTCACAGGCACCATCATTAAACTACCACCAACACCCCATGCACGTGGTCACATACACATGGCAACATACAGAGAAAACCTAACCACATACCTTTTTGGTCTCACACGCGTGTGTCACCCACAGACACAACTAGCATGTGTACCAGCACACGCTGCTGAGCAGAGGTGTGAGCCCTCTCTGACCTGACCTTGGTTCCTGATGAGATAGGGCGTCTTCCTGTCCAGCAGCAGAGACAACAGGCTAAGTCCCGATGCTCAGCTGTGATGCCAGTGTTTACTATCACAGACATGAATCAGGAGTCCCTAATCACATGCCAGGAGGCTGGTGACTGGATCTACATGCACTAAAACAGGGCCCAGGTTAAGTCTGACTCAGGAAAAGAGTCAGATACATACTGCGCGCACACACACAACTATCAAACAGCACATACACAAGCATACATAGTATATTCAGACAGATGCACAGACTGACACACACAGTCATGGACACCAAGTCTCACACATGAACCCCCTAGCACACAGGCAGGTCCATCACCAAGGGCAGATTTCCAGCTCCTCTCACCTGGGCTCATCATTGGTGAGTTCAGATACTTTCTGCTCCAGTCTGTCGCCCATCTCCTCAGGTTTTCTTCAGGAGACCTAACATCCAGACACAGAAAAGCAATATCTGGGGACTTAGCACTTCTACAGACTTTCCTTTTCCTTAACCAGCTCCAGAGAAATGAGTCCAAAGATAACACTTAACTGCTAATGAGAGACTACACCAAGTCCCCAAGCTTGTGGCTGATTTCTGACTGCCCTTTGGGAGCTGTGTGTCCAAGAGCCAGAGGGACTGGAGTCCTAGGGGACAGTGTCCCTGATTCCAGTCATGCCCTGGTCGCCTTTCTTCTTGGACATGTTCCAGCTGGGACAAAAGATCTGTCCATTTTTTGTTTGAAATGAGTTTAAAGATACAGAAAAGTTTAAAAATGATATCAAGAATTCCTTGACAGGCGTTGCTCAGATTCCATAATAGTTAACATTTTACTATGTTTACCCTTTGTTTGTGTGTATATATATATATATGTTTCAGGCTTTAATTCTCAGTGGATATACCACAGTGCATATTATTAGAAGGCATATGCTATTAATTTTTCCAATGACTAGTGTTTTCCTTTATCTTTATTGGCTATGGTTTTATCTGCCAGTTTATCTATTGTAAAGTTACAGTTTTTTATAGTTACTATTTTAACCTTGTAATTAAAAGGTATAATTTATGTAGATATTTTGGTATTATATAAACATAACATTTTCCTTATTAAAATTTCACCCACTCACTTTAATGATTCTTATATGACAAAATTACGGCAAATGTGGTAATCAAATGGAAGCTCTTTACAAATTCTATCATTTCTTGTATTAGTTGTGTTCTATAAGAAGAAACTTATCTTTATTCCCCACTCATTTGTGTGTTTGTTGGTTTTTTTTTGTTTTGTTAATCCTTACCAGAGGGATATTTTTTTCCAGTGATTTGAGATAGAGTAGAATGGGAGGGAGGGAGGGAGGGAGGGAGAGAGAGAGAGAGATAGATTATAGATATTTATAGTTAGAGAGAAAATAAAAAGAATCAGGGGGAGAATCATTTGAGGTTGCCTCATGGAACGTGCCTCAAAGCAGGGGCCAGGGAACAATCCTGCGAACCC